TATTTGATTGTGACATTTGGTTGTTAAATTCCTGCAAAAACACCAAGAATATGAGCAGTTTGTTCTCACTGATTGCTACAGAGTTGGAAAGGACATTGTACTCCTTGCTGATGGCAATATTTAACTTGCAAAACAAACCGCGATTGCCTCGCCTTAGTTCAACGGCACATGAAGCAATCAAAGCCATGACCGCAGTGCACGCAGGTTGACACATCAGCAACGAAGAATGCAGGACGTCTAATAGAGTGGGCCTATTTAATGCACGCTAAAGGACTTGAATACATTCCAACAAGGAGCAGGCTGTGACTCCCCCCGTCCAAGGCGTGACACCACCTTCTTTGATTGCCTTGTCTAAAGACACATCACTGCAGTCTTTCCCTGCCGTTTGTAGCAAAATAACAGCATGCACACAGGTGGATGCACACTCAGGTCATGGCAGGCTGTACAGTATTTTTCCACCGTGCGGCGAACGTCTCTGTGAATGCTTGCTGTCCCTCTCGTGGATGATGGATACGTTCCTGCACAATGAGGTCTGAGCCTACACACGTTTTCAACAAGGGTGGCCCTGTGCAGACCGATGCGCCATGCTTTCACATCTGAAGCGTACCGCTGAGACTGTGAGGCGTGAGCTTGCACCGCTTTGGGGGCTTTTAGCAGCGACCGTGTAGATGTAGAGGCAAACAAAATTGTCCTACTGTTTTGCAGATATCTTAAAATGTGACTGATTTGCAGGTTTGTGAATTGTTTCCATAACATCTGGAAAGTAGATGGTGCAGATATCAGATTTGAAACCTGTTGCCGCAACGGTGTCTGTTCATTATGACTAAATCCCCGTAAGGCAGCCGGTCCGGACTCAGTCTCCCCTCACTCCCTGAAGCATTGTGCTGACCAGCTGTCTCCGGTGTTCACTGACATCTTCAACACCTCCCTGGAGACATGCCACGTACCAGCCTGCTTCAAGGCCTCCACCATCATCCCTGTCCCCAAGAAGCCCAGGATCACAGGACTCAATGACTACAGGCCCGTCGCCCTGACCTCTGTAGTCATGAAGTCTTTTGAACGGCTAGTCCTGACCCACCTGAAGTCCCTCACCGACCCCCTCCTGGACCCCCTGCAGTTCGCCTACAGAGCCAACAGGTCTGTGGACGATGCTGTCAACATGGCCCTCCACTACATCCTCCAGCATCTGGACTCCCCAGGAACCTACGCCAGGATCCTGTTTGTGGACTTCAGCTCTGCTTTCAACACTATCATCCCGTCTCTGCTGCAGGACAAACTCTCCCAGCTGCACGTGCCCGACTCCCACCTGCAAGTGGATCACAGACTTCCTGTCTGACAGGAAGCAGCACGTGAAGCTGGGGAAACATGTCTCAGCCTCTCGGACCATCAGCACCGGTTCCCCCCAAGGCTGCGTTCTTTCCCCTCTGCTCTTCTCCCTGTACACCAACAGTTGCACCTCCAGCCACCAGTCCGTCAAGCTCCTGAAGTTTGCGGATGACACCACCCTCATTGGACTGATCTCTGGTGGGGACGAGTCCGCCTACAGGTGGGGGTCTGACCATCTGGTGTCGTGGTGCAGTCAGAACAACCTGGAGCTCAACGCTCTAAAGACAGTGGAGATGGTTGTGGATTTCAGGAGGAACAGAGCCCCACCCTCCCCCATCACCCTGTGTGACTCCCCCGTCACTATTGTGGATTCCTTCCGTTTCCTGGGCTCCATCATCACCCAGGACCTCAAGTGGGAGCTGAACATCAGCTCCATCACCAAGAAGGCTCAGCAGAGGTGTTCTTCCTGAGGCAGCTGAAGAAACTCAACCTGCCAAAGACGATGATGGTCCACTTCTACACGGCCATCATGGAGTCCATCCTCTGCTCCTCCATCACCGTCTGGTACGCTGCAGCCACAGCCAAGGACAAGAGCAGGCTTCAGCGTGTCCTCCGCTCTGCAGAGAGGCTGATCGGCTGCAATCTGCCGTCCCTGCAGGACTTGTTCGCTTCCAGGTCTCTGAAGCGAGCTAAAAAGATGGTAGCCGACCCCTCTCACCCCGGACCAAACCTGTTTGTGCCCCTTCCATCTGGCAGGAGGCTGAGGTCCATCAGGACTAAGACCTCCCGCCACACCAACAGTTTCTTCCCGTCGGCAGTCGGGCTCATCAACAGAGCCGGTCCCCCACTGCCTGACTATAACACTCCACCGGTCACTCCCCCTCACACTGCACATGCCACTTTAACTGCAATTCATCACTTTGTCACTTGTCACTTTGTCTCTTGTCTGTTACTTGTTCGTTAGTGCACTTTATGCTTAATATTTTTCTTTAACTTTTTAATATTTAAAATGTTTTAACTTTATTCCCTTGTTTTATACTAACCCATAGCCTTATTCTACTAACCATTGCACTAGCATTTTATTCTACTTTATTACTTGTGCACTGCTGTCTTGTCTGTCTACTGTCGCGCACTAACCGCCAAGACAAATTCCTTGTATGTTTGACATATTTTGGCTAATAAATGTTTCCTGATTCCTGATTCCTGAAGAGATATGGATTGTTGTCTTGTTGATAAATAATCTTTAGCCGATTACTTGTTTTTGAATGTCTTTTCATTTACAATAAGCTAATACTTAGTGGTCATGCATTTCTGACAACACAATAGTTAGGAATGAGATATTTAGAGATTCTTGTGCAAGACAGTGATCTTTTGTTTATTGATTACAACTTATTTTGACATCTACAATCCATTTATTCATTTAGCACCTGCACATTCCTTATTCTGTATGAAATATCAGATTTGAACTACAGTCTATTAATAGATTAGTCAATTGTCCACTATCTCGATGGCAAAAATGTCAACCACCCTGTGGTCTCAGCTTGGCAAATGCAAAGATTCACTAATATTCTCAATCAATGTCTTTGTGGTTTGGTCTTTTTGTTGGAGTATAGAAGCAATATGAATCCCTCATCTTGAGCTCTGACAAATTGTGATACCATTTCTGAACCATCTTCTGGAATTCTAATTGACTTAATAATTAAATCAATAGTGCAAGTAATGGTTCTCTGCAGCCTGCCGCCCCAATTCTCTTCACAAAGAGGCTCATTGATCAACTTGACAGTTACAGCACCAATTTAAACCGAGGTGGCATTTCCTCTCTCTTTTCCCTTCAAGCGGTTGCTATCGGCTGTATTTTGTTCTTTGGACGATAGTTTTAGTGTTTGATCGATCAAGCAATTGTTTGATTGGTAATTCATTAAATGAGTTTTATTCAAAATAAAATATTTTTTAAATAGCATATGTTGCCACAGGGATTTCCAAAGACACCTCATGCAGATCTTGTGCTTCTCATGCTGTAAAGGTGACTGATAATTGAACAATAACACGTTCAGTTAATCCAGTGGATGTACTGTAATCACGTTTAATGGTGTGCTTTAAATCTATGTTATCACCAGTCACACTGCTTTTAAATGTTCATACACTGAATATAGTGTATTCCAAGTGCTTTTGGTGCAGCGATTCGTTGCCTCTTTATTGTTGAATTGTGCACTACACACGGAGACACCGTTTTAAAGCCTCACCCCGACAAGACGCCCTGATTATATTGGTTAAAATGATCAAACTAAAGGGAAACCAACCTTGGCGACTGCATGGGCTCTCCACGACTCTGGAGTCCTGCAGGAACCCGGAGGACAGCGAACAGGGGCGAGAGGAGGGGGGAGAGAGAGAGGGAGGGAGACGACTCCTAAGAAATCTCCCCCTTCAAAAAACGAATCGTCCGGTGTGTCCCTGTAATCCCAAATCAAACGCCCTCGGTTTCTCTCTAAGTGTTGAATCCGCAAATCTGTGCATGATGTCCA